ACATATTATTATTATTATTATTATTATTATTATTATTATTATTATAATGTTTTGTAAATTGCTACTTTTATTCCGCAAGGATGCATTAAATTAATTAAAAGTGTCAGTAATGACATTTAGAATCAAAAGATTGCTATAAATGCTGTTCTTTTGAACTGTCTATTCATCAAAGAATGCTGATAAAATGGTTTTCAACACTGATAAGAAATGTTTCTCCAGCACAAAATCAGCATATTAGTATGATTTCTAAAGGATCATGTGACACTGAGGACTGGAGTAATGATGCTGAAAATACAGCTTTGCGTCACAGGAATAAATTACATTTTAAAATATATTTAAATAGAAAACAGCTGGTTTAAATTTAAGTTTTGCTGTATATTTTGTTCAAATAAATGCAGCTTTGGTGAGCATAAGACACTTCTTTCAAGAACATTACAAATCTCACAGCCCCAAATTTTGGAACAGTAGTATAGATGAATAAATATGAAAACACAGTTTCTGTCCTGTACACGGTTTTATTGTACCTTTTCCCCTCATAATATAATCTTAGTCTGCCTGAGCCCTGTTTCGTCACACTATATATATATATATATATATACTGAATTTTGCTGTTTGATGGGTAATGTTTGTGTATGGCCTTGTACATGTTCAGAAGTTCAAAGTATTATATCGTTATGTATAGCACCATTGCAAGTGGTCACAGAGTGGATGAAGAAAGTGAAGAGATGAGCGCACTGAGCACTGAAGTTTGCCAGGACACTGAAGCTGCTTTGGTAGTTCAGTCACTGCTATTATTTATTTGATTAAATTGTGATGAATCAACAGTTGTACCTGAAATATGAGTCTGTTATATTTAAAATGGCCACTATTTGTCCTTTCTGAATAGGATGACGGCAACAAGCAAGATAAAGCTCTGATCTTTTTACCCAAGCAGCCGGGAGCTTCCGCTGAGAAGAACCCTGGTATGAATCTCCGATTGAAGAAAGAAATAAACTGGAATCATTTTTCAGCAGTGTTTTATATGCATGTTATGGTAGGTGTCATCAAAGATCCGAATAGCAGCGAGGCTTGGTTTGATGCAGAAGAGGAACTTGGGTCTCCAAATCAAGATGGAAAAATGGAGGAACTGAATGAAAGGAAAGAAAGTATGGACTACAAATTAAAAACTGCTGTTATATAAGCGTAAAAGTATGCTTGTGAAGCTGAAATACTGTTTATGAAAGCACCTGTTGCTGTTGGCTGATGGATTTAGTTGACTGTCTAATGTTTGCTACTCTTTCACAGGGTCTGATGAAGATGAATCAAACCACAGTTCCCTCTTGTGCATTACAAGCTTGCCTGGCAATATCGCTGAGGTTGAATGCATACAAATGTGAAGTTTTCAGTGAAGTTAATTATGGCCTCTAGGAGGCAGCAGCCATCACTAAATGTTCTATTTTCTGTAGCATGAAGTGCTGCTTTGGTTTGAGAAGTACAATGCCACCAATGTCTGCATCTCCACTTTCAGCAACAATATGAGGTAAGCGTTTCCCGTGTATGCTCAAACACTGAGTTTAACCACTGGTTCAATTTAAGGTATAAAATATTTATCAACACTATCACTTCAGAATTTTGGAGTTTGTTTTCAAATAAAATGGTATTTACTGCATTACACTTTTCCTAGACACTAATATCAATCTCCGTAAATAGCAAACCTCTAAAGTTAAAGCTGCAGTCCGTAACTTTTGGCGCTCTAGCGGTTCATAAACAGAACTGCGTGCGTCTTGCGGAAGAACATTGTAGCCGGAGCTACTTCTCTGTTTATGTTTACTCCGCAGCGTTACCTATCCGAACCAATCTAAAATAGTGATTCAGGACAAGCCAAAAACACGGTTTGGAAAATGGATTCATGGTGTACTCTCTTATTATATAAATTATCAATTTTTTTTTTAAAAACACAAAGTTACGGACTGCAGCTTTAAGTATTAGAGCGTAAATAACCATGGACTAAAATAGTTTCATAAACAGGAAAACCTTGCTGAACTTGATTATGACTTGATTGAGTATGATTACTCATTTTGCCTAATCATTGTACCAGTACAGCAACAGTCAAGAGCCTACAGCTCCGCACCCAAATTGTGATGGTACAAACTGGCAGTAGTAGCATGTTTAAAGATAGTGTTTATTTTTTATATTAATCTTTAGAGATTTTGTAGTAATGCTGAATGCAGTAGTTCTGGGTGTTAACGCATTATTAGAGATTATCATTAATGAAATGCACTCTTGTCTGTGCTTATGTAGGGCAGCTATTGTTTATCTCAAGAGCCCCAGCGATGCCAAGGCAGCAGTTAAAGATCTACACGGGTGCTCCCTCCAAGGCCACACTGTCCAGGTGGTGCAACTCCGCGGGCCTACCTCAGCTGATCCTAAACTGATCAGTGATCCGCCCCACAGCACCTCAAAACCCCATAAAGAAGCTGCTGCTGCTGGGGATGGACTGGGAACGAAGGGTGTAACCTACACTTCATCACCTGGAGTAAGTATGACGTGAAAGACTTTTTAGAAAGCTTGCTGTGTCCAAAACTACTTAATTTTCTATCACTAGTACTTTGAAATACAATTGTGTGTGTATAATAATTATAATAATAATAATATTATTATTATGAGCTAACATTAATTATAATAGCTAATTAGCTAATGTATTATTCTTATTTTAAATTGTGTGTGTGTGTATATGTGTATATATATATATATATATATATATATATATATTTTTTTTTTTCCAAACCCTTAAGATGTTATGTTTTTGACTCAGGGGCCGCGCTGTAGTGTGGACAGATTAACCAATGTCTGCAACTCGCCTACAGCCTCTGGCACCTGTGTGCCACAGCACTACGCCACCATGGGAAGCTTTGACACAATCATGGCCCGGCTGTCAGAGTGCCACCCAAATGTAGGCCGCCAGAGGATCGTAGATGCCCTGCTGGAACTGCGGGCCAAGCATCAGGGCTTCCTCAGTGGGCTTCCTTTAAAATCTATAGTGGATATGACCTCTGAGCTTCTAACACAGGCCTCAACTCCGACATATATTTGAGTTAGTGCTGTTATAAGCAGCGATAAAGGCCTTTATAAATAGTTCCCTGACTAGTATGACTGGATTTCAGTTGTCAGTTCAGTTTTTTTTCAGCTAACTAATGTTATCTACAGCCGTTGTAATTCATTAATCAGAGTATTTCTTTCGCCTGGAAATGGAGTTATTTGTTCATTCATTTCAGGTTTTCATCTCTGCTGTTATCAGTTATGCTGTGCATATAGAAGTTTCCTTGTGTTTCCTGAATAAAACTGTTTTCCTGTGTTTCCTATAATGATTTGATGAGTGCAAGCCCAGACAGTGTAGCGCTGCAAATTTCAGAGCATTTCAAGTCATGTGACCAGTTTTATTTTTTTGCAGTTGTAAAAATGGTCTGTGGTGGAGGGACCCTTTTTATCACTCCTGTCAACCCAGGTAAAACTAGAACCACTTTCTATTCTTGGAGGCACCTAATGGGTTCTCCACAGTTTTTTCTGTGGAACAGGTGGGGATGTAATTAGTGATGGTCACATGACTGCTGACTGCGCTGGATGAAATTTCCAAGCCAGATCTTAAAGGACTTAGATGTTTAATGTACTACTGACATTAAAAACATTCATAAAATGCTCTAAATCTACTTTTAAGAGAAGAAACGGCATGCAACCATTTTAATGTAATTTGACAGTTTTATGTGAGAAACTGATTTATATTTTAGAGCAAAATATGATTGTTCTGTCCATAAAATACCTTTATTGGTTACTAAGGTCAACTAATTAAAGGGTTAAATGTCCTTTCAACTGCTTCGTCCTAATCGACAATACTTTCTCCCCTCATATTCTGACTAGCCCCGCCCTTCGTCTGATTGCTATTTTCTTTTATTGGCAAGGACATTTGAATGACTTGTTTACTGTCCAATCAGTGCATGGTTTGAAGTCACCCTACTAGCCAATCCCAGCGCAGGAGGGCGGAACTTGTTGGACAAACTGATTGGGAAAAACGTCCAGTCTCTTCTCCCATGGGCGGAGTCTAGAGTAACGTGAGGGACGCGGCAGGCACTCTATTGAACTTCCACGCTGAAAACAACCGGATAATGAGTAAAACAGTGTTTACAAAGTTTAAAATGTATTTGTGAATGAAGTTTTGAAGCTCAGTATGGATGCAGTCAATGGGGAATTATTGCAGTGGACCTCAGACAGAGTGCGACAGTAACAATAACTTCGAATGTGGATTATTGTTCAGAGTTGCGGTATCGACTCTGACTTCAGTCGTGTGTGCCGCTGTGATGTGGAGAGGATGGACACAAAGATCTCAGCCACTCACGATATAAGAAACGGACATTTATCATAGAAACTTTTTTTATGCAATTGGACAAAAAAAAAAAAACATTTTTGACGTTGAACGGGCTTTTGATTTTGTAAGGAATAATGTGGAAATAACAACAGATTTCATACAGATAAATGACAAGGCATATACTATATTCTACAACAAGTGCATGTACTCTACCCTTTCAAAAATAATATTTTACAATTATAAATAGTTTATTATCTGACTATATTTCATGAAGTAATTCAACTAATTAAAAACAATATTTTATACAGAACTTGTACTATACCATTTGCATATAAAATGCTGTTTAATATTAGACTTTTTGCACATGCTAATATCATGCATATTTAAATCAATTAAATTAAAATGTATTAAAAAAAACTTTAATGAAAATTGTAAGGTTTTTTTTGGTGCTGGTATTTAAATTAAATTGTTTTTAATGTGTATAATTAAAAAATAAAACTATAAATATTTGGTTGGTTTTAAAAGGAATAATATCATGTATATTTAAATGTAAAAATAGATATTTATAATAATATAATATCAAAAACACTATCATTAATTTAATGTATGATTTCAGTATTGCTTTTTAAGCTTCTGATTTCTCTCATTTTTCTCTTGTTCCAGATATAAGTTGTTCCCAAACTGCGTCCCTATGTTTGGCTTCCGTCACCTCTTATCTCTTACGGACAAGGTTGACCGTTTCAATGAAGAAGTGCAGAAGCAGATGGTTTCGCGGAACAGGGACGCACCAGAGGGGGGGTTTGATGCCATTCTGCAGGCTGCCGTTTGCAAGGTAAGCAGTCAGTAAAGACAGGTCATTTTGCTGCTTCATCACTAAGCTTCTTTGACTCCTTCAACTCTCAATAGAGACAGAAAGCCTGTCCAGCAATTGAGAAAATGTCTTGTTTTTGTGCTGTGCTATCTGAGCTTTATCAGAACAGATACAGGTGTCTGAGTCCTAAAAGAGACACACTAATATAGCATGACATCATAGGCTGTAAAAATATTTGCTTGGGCATGAAAGGCACAAATACAGCATGCATGAGAGAAAGAGACTGTGTGGTTTACACTGAATTAGAGAGGAGAGCCTTGCCCATTTATTCACTGTACAGTATGTGTTAATCAGTGCTCGTTCTTGTTAGTGAGACTAGTCAGAACTTGTGTGTTGAATTTGCCATGTGTTTCTCATTTTTTCAGAATTGCTTGAACATCCTGTTTTTAAATATTCAGCCATCTAAAATGTTAGTCAGCATGATGTCTGATATTTGAGTAGTTAGTGGACTTTTTGTATCTAGATTTTAGGTAAAATATATATGCATCAATGATTGAAACCGTACTGGCCACCTTTTTGCCTGCATTTTTTTTTTATTTGTATTTTTTAAGTATATTTAAAATGGTTCTGTGTTGTGACACAAATGTAATATAAGTATATATTCCGTTTAGTCTCTTAATTAATGTTTGGTTATAAAAGGTGCATGCATAAAAAAAAATAGAATGACCAAATTGCTTTACAGTTCTATTTCATGTAGGCTACTAATTTATACTGCTACTTTAACTTTATATTTTTAAACAAATCTATTTCTTAAAAGTGATCATAAATTTGTTTTATTTGGAAAAACTCTCCATATGTGAATGCATATCCATATGAGACAACTCTGTAATATAATTTAACTGATCCATCAACTATACAGAAACAATTTAATATGAACATGGTATAGAGATGGTAACACTTTAGTGCAGGGACCAATTCTCACTATTAACTAGTTGCTTATTAGCATGTCTATTGTATGTTAACCTATTGGCTGTTTATTAGTACTTATAAAGACCATATTCTACATCCCTAATCCTACCCAATACCAAAACTTAACAACTCCTCCTTACTATTAATAAGCAGCAAATTAGGAGTTTATTGAGCTGAAAATCATAGTTAATTGCTTGTTAATGGCAAAAATTGGACCTTAAAATAAAGTGTGACCAGAGATATGAAAAGATATAGGCTGGCATAAATGAAAGTTTAATCTCATTGTGGCAGGAGAAGATTGGCTGGAGGAAGGAGGCCTATCATCTCTTGGTGTTTGCCACCGATGACGTCCCTCACTTGGCTTTGGACGGCAAGCTCGGTGGACTAGTGCATCCTCACGATGGACAGTGTCACCTGAACGACAAGAACGAGTATAGTGCTGCAAACATGATGGTAAAGCTTTTATACTGCAAAGCATCATTTGAACCAAACAAATGTTCATCCAGTTTATGTGGAGACACATTTGGGTAAATGAACTGACTGTCTGTATGAGATTAGATTGTTTTATTGTAAACACACTTTATGCCTAATTGCTTGTCCTCAACTGCCATCGTCCATAATTGCTTGAGATTAACATATAGTGATTGTCTGAAAATCTTAAACCCCAGCAGGTTTCTGTTTTCTGAACCGTATTGAGAAACCTTTTAGGTTTTATTGGGAAGGCTTTGTGCACTTGTTTCCTTCTCTTTTGACCAGTTGATGTCTCTTGTATATTCATAACTCAAATGCATTTTTCCCCTCATCTATGTCAAAATTGTCTATTGGCTCTGTGCAGTTTGGGTTTCATCCAAAGCAGCTGAGTGTTTTGTGAGAGAGAGAGCAAACTAGGATTTAATATTTCTGCATCCATCTTGTTCTGTAGAAAACATTACTCAAATGTGCTTAACACATCACTGATCATTCATTAAAGAGATTGAGCACAAACTCCCTGGATTCTCAGGCAGGTCAGTAGCAGAGGACGCCTGAAGCTGAATACAGAGGAAATGGGTGGAAAGGATAACGGAAACCATGGAGGGGAATCAGAGGAGCGATGACTTCCTTTTGCAAACGTCCCAACAGAAAGAGTGCTGCAGGAAGTGAGGGATTGAATAAATGCATCTTACTGATATATGGACATCTCTCCACAGGACTACCCTTCACTCGCTCTACTTGGAGAGAAACTGGCTGAAAACAATATTTTCCTCATCTTTGCTGTGACCAAAAGACACTATGTTCTTTACAAGGTATCTTTCATTCATCATAAGCTATTTTGATCGACGTTGGGCTGTTTTTGTTTTGTGTTTAATGTTTTCTCAATGTCTTTTTACCCGTAGAATCTCACAGCATTGATCCCTGGGACTACGGTGGAAATTTTGGACCAAGACTCCAAAAACATTATTCAGCTAATTGTGAATGCATACAATGTAAGTTGTTCTTATTACCATCTTGTACTGTGGGTGGATTTTTACAGTGCACATAAAAGAAAATGGGCTCTTGTTGACCCCAAGGCTGATCCCTTCATGCTTTTGTTCCCTGTAAAGTGTGTAGTATGTGTATTTTATGGTTCAAGGTTGAAGCTGTGATATATAGTGACAGCCCATTATGAACGCACTGTTCATTTTTAGGGAATGTGGTAAACACACTTCAGGGTCAGGCAGTCACAGCACAGTACTATATAAAGTGTACAAATTGACTCCAGTTTAACTGGCAACCAAACTGATTACCCTGATTATTTTCAGCTAATAAATGGTTAGGAATTGAATTAGGAACAGATGATGTTGTGGAGTGTGATTTTAGGAAAGCTTTGCTCTTTTGCTGTCTTCACTGCGTGATCACATGATTACATAAGATAAGGAATTTACTGTTTTTGTTAGTGAAGAACTTTTGATGTGTTTGCCTTGGTTCAGTAATCTTTGTAGTCTGGTATTTTTGTCTAATGAAGATTTTTTTTGGGCGGAGGACACTTTTGCACATGCATTTTTATATCAACTTAATTTAAAATAAAAAGTAAATTCATATGAATAACACAAACTTCAAAAAAGTTTGGAGTATATTATTATTATTTATTTAATTTTTTGAAAGAATTGAATATTTTTATTCTGCAAGGACACATTAAAATGATCAAAAATGACAATAAAGACATTTTATAATGTTGCCAAATATTTCTACTTCAGATAAATGCTGTTCTTATGAACTTGTATCAGTAGTAGCCTTACTAACCCTAAACTTTTGTACAGTAGAGTAGATCCACTGGATATCTGCCTTGAGGTCTTGCAAACACAATTAAGCACCATGGGAAACCACGTCGTACGACAGCTTAATAAAAAAAATTAATGATGTTACGATATGAATAGAAATTCAATAATCCGTTTATAACTGGTCACAAACACTGACCAAATATCAAGCCAGGGTTTTTTTGTTGATCCAGTTACCTATCTCTCCTGACTTTCAGTTTACACCAAAATATGCCAAAGTACCAAAGGCTATGATTACTGTCACGGATATGATCTATTTTGGTGTTGTTTTGAGTGGTAGTATGCTGGCCAAGAATATGATTGAATGTTTGTTGTTTTATTTTTTGGTGCTAGAGCATTATAGAAACCAAGTATGTGATTTTCTCCATTATCATTGAAATTGTAACTAGTGAATGGTAGATGCTTTTGTGTTTTGTGAATGATTTTGTTTTTGTTTTTCTTTTAATGTAGAACATCAGGTCAAAGGTTGAGCTGAGCGTATGGGACCATCCTGAAGATCTCAGTCTGGCCTTCACCGCCACCTGCCAAGACGGCCAGCCCCTGACTGGTCTCCGCAAGTGTGCTGACGTCAAAATCGGTGACACTGTTAGTGCTTTATACTTTATGAAATATTGCCTGTGCCTTTTACACCAACTTATTGGTAGTACGTTATTTACTCAACGATAACATGTAAGGTTTGAATGGTATACCATGGTCTGCACTCACACGTCATTATGCTGTATCAGCCACAACAGACTTGCACTCTGTTTGGTGCAAAATAGTTAAGAGAGCCCTCTTTAGGATTTAGGGAACTAAATATTACCGTATCATAAAATGCAGATGACAGATTCATAGCATCAAGCACACAAGTTGTATCTAACAGTGCTTGTATTAACGGTTACTTTATAATGTTTTCGCTTTACAGTGTTCACATGGTGTGGATTGAAGTTGTTAGATCTCCCATACATTCTTGGTTAAACTGACATTGTAAAACTTCTATAGGACTACTTGGTACATGTCACCATGCAGTGATCTGACCCTTGGATTCAAGCAAGAGTTCTCCACTCTTGCCTGTACCATTCCCATTCTGCGTAATTGAATGTAGAGAAGGATCGTGAGGGAAAGCGGAGGGGTAGAGCTGAATACCCTCTCTGAATGGAGCAACCCAATTTTTTCTGGCCGCTCCAATAGACCCAGGGCCTTTTTGTCTCATCCACGAGGGAAATTTGTCACACCGTGCCCAAGTGCCAATCATGCCTTTAGAAAGTGGAGCAAAACCCAAACAGAATCCAATGTGTCACTTACGGTCCTCCGCCGAACTCTCTGAGGAGTCTGCTGCTGCATTTCAATGGGCTCGCACAATGGCGACGGGCTCTTTCTGGGTGAAAAACACAGGCTTTAGATACAGAGGCGGTAGCCCAGCTTCTAAAGTTAAGCTTAGATTCCTTTCACAGAAGTAGATTCAAGCCCCTAGAGACTACTAAAATGTCCATACATAACACATTCTTCTAATCCTATATTATGCTGGCTGGTGTCCCAGGAAACATCAGTTTACTTTTGGATAGACTTTGTTTGCCATGGATTTATAAAGCTCTACTCGCTGTTGTGCAAATGCAAGAACACTATGAAATGGGAGGTGTACAGTCAGGAGCACAACTACAGATTTACTGATATAGCAATATATTTTAGATACAGCAATAAGTGTTCAATTAGTATTAGTTGTTAGTAGTAATAGTCATATTTTTTGATACATTTGATGTAATTCTTACCTATTACTATATATATATATTTTTTTTTAAATAGGAATTATTATTACCATCCAATCAGGTATCACAAAAATGAACCCCAACAGGGTGTTTAGGATGCCAATGTGTTATTTTTAGTATCATCCGATATAATCCAGTTATATTTTTTATCATTAACTTTTTATATTTTAATTTTAATTTGAGGAATTCTGTTATATGTGCTTTTATCATTTTTATTGTTTTTTAATATCGCTATTTAGGTTTTTAGTATTATTTTGGTTTTAGGTTTTATTCATTTCTAGTTTTTATCCATTTCCAGTTCAATGTAAACTAATTTCAGTTAGTTGCCAATGCAACAGTTTTTCATCTAATTTTTATTATTTCAGTTTTATTTCAGTTTTGAAAAATCCCTCAACTGCTATTGCAAAATACTCCAGTTTTATGTCTATGCAGTGTGAATATTTGACATTAATTTTTTTTTTCTACTGGCAGCCTGTCTTCATGTTATTTTCTGCTTACTGCATGCTAAAACAGAGACAAAAAATTAAAACAGGCTCCTCCTATTCTGATTAATGCTTTAGTTTGCTGCTGCTCTGAAGGCTTTAGGTCTCTTACAAACAACTTATGCAAAGACACAGATCGATCTAGTCATTTCTGGTCTGATCATTACTAAATGTAAAACATTAGCAGTGTTTTTCCTACTCTTGATCTGGTTTGTTTTTATTAAAATGCCATGTACAGTTTTGACCAGTGATGGCTCATCTTTATATAATGTCCACACCTCTTCCTCTGCCCAACCATACAGACTTTAATGGAGTTTTCCAATGCTTTCTGTCTTCATCTAACCATTGCCATGTACTCGTGACTCACATGTCTCCTTAATCCAATTCTGCAGCTCATTGCCTCATTGAGGAAATACTTCTTGCTGCGCTTTTGTCTGTCTGTGACCCCTTACTTTACCACTTTTTTCGTGTTGTTTTTCAGCATGATCTTTAAGGAGCAGCATGTTAATGCTGGATAATATGTAGTGAAAGTTGTGTTTGATGTAATTTTACAGTTGTTGTTTTTTTTACTTGTTTGTTTATCACAAATCCTAAAAAAACAAATAACATGGGTTCCACAAAAATATTTAGCAGCACAAATGTTTTCAACATTGATAGTAATGAGAGATGTTTCTTGAGCATCAAATTGGCGTATTGGAATGAACATAATTGAAACCAAAAAACAAATAAAACTCTATTCATACGTGAATTGAGATTGTTGGACAGGTCCAAAAGGTTACCAGTTATTCATGATTTCATGCACAGTTGGGATGCCAGTACAAGAACCTTTTCCACATGAGCAAAAAGTACTCTTGTACAGAAATAGACATTTTGAATATTTGATGAATTGTCTTACTTGCCTCCCTTTTGTGTCAAGTCTCTTCTCCATCATTTCTATTTTTACACTGAGTATGTGTTTTCTTTAGGCTGTTACTTCGCTATAGAGAGACCAGTGCTGTCAAAGTAACAGCATCCCCTTTTCCATTCAAATAACTTCTCCGACAGCCTTAAACTTTCATTGTGATTAAGAAGACATGTGAGCCTCTAGTCTACCTCCATCAGTATGACCCTCTGTGGCCCAGTGTTTGGCTCTGAGCTTTAAACTCTTGGGTCTGGAGGGCTCACTGATGTGAAACACTACTTCAAAGTGTTCAGACACAGCATGTTGGGCTTGTCTGCTCCCCTGGGCGATTCTGAATCAAAGGCCAGCCAGGCTACATGTTTTTGAAAGTGTCGGGTTTTCTGCCCCTGAGGATCCGCACATCAAGTTTGCTCACTTCTGGGAAAAGAATTGATAAAGTGATAAATCCTCTTTAGCACTGCATGTTGCATAAATCCAGTGCAGTTGTAAGACACTTAAACCACATCTCAAGTGGAATACTAAATCTGAGAAATTAGCTTTGAATTTTTATCTCACCATCTTACCATAAATTATTTGATGCTGATCAAGTCTAGGCTAGTAAGGATGAAGCCTCTAATGTTTAGACTTCCTTCCTCTGGGTGGTCATCATCAGGGTGGAGTCTCTCTTTACTCTGGTCTGAAGGTCTGTGATTAATCTGACAAGTATGATCTACATCGGTTAGTGAAGCCTCTGTTTGCCTCTGAGTTTGCATTCTTGAACCTTTGGTTTAGTTGTCCCAAAATAATGTTTTGGTTAAAAGGTTTGTGATTAACACAAGCTCAAGATATTTTCATGTTTTATTAATCAACATTAAATACATCAGTAATACCCCACTTGTGATTATTTTTTTTTTTTTATGTGTTAAGGCTTTTATGTGTCTTAAAAAGGCAGTTACCAACAAGTGGCTAAATGGGACTACAGTGTCTTTTGGGGATATTAAACATTACGCCAAGCACGAAAGCTCATCTACTAAATAGTCTGCTTTTACAGACTGGTTGTGTTTATATCCATGCTTTTGCAAACTTACTTAAAAATTAACTTTTGTTGGTCACAGAATTTTCCAGCAATAATCCAAAAGCCGATGGAAAATCCTATTGGCTTTTTGTCAAGGGAACCAAGGTCTTGCAAACTTCAAAAATATGTCATCCCTGTAGCACTCAGTAGCTGTTTCCCAAATCTGGGTCTGTATCCGTCGGGTCAAACTAAGCATTTTTAAAGGGTTTGGAACGACATGAGGGTAATTAATGACAGAATTTTCATTTTTGGGTGAATCTCCCTTTAAGTGGATCTATAAGTTTGCAGCTTGTTAAGATATTAGTCGACTTTAGTCAAGTGTTAGTCACATTTTTTTTTATGTGTTAAGGCTTTTATGTGTCTTAAAAAGGCAGTTACCAACAAGTGGCTAAATGGGACTACAGTGTCTTTTGGGGATATTAAACATTACGCCAAGCACGAAAGCTCATCCACTAAATAGTCTGCTTTTACAGACTGGTTGTGTTTATATCCATGCTTTTGCAAACTTACTTAAAAATTAACTTTTGTTGGTCACAGAATTTTCCAGCAATAATCCAAAAGCCGATGGAAAATCCTATTGGCTTTTTGTCAAGGGAACCAAGGTCTTGCAAACTTCAAAAATATGTCATCCCTGTAGCACTCAGTAGCTGTTTCCCAAATCTGGGTCTGTATCCGTCGGGTCAAACTAAGCATTTTTAAAGGGTTTGGAACGACATGAGGGTAATTAATGACAGAATTTTCATTTTTGGGTGAATCTCCCTTTAAGTGGATCTATAAGTTTGCAGCTTGTTAAGATATTAGTCGACTTTAGTCAAGTGTTAGTCACTTTTTGAATGTTTTTTCCATTCCTTGTATCCTTCATTGGCCTAGGAAGCAAAGCACACATTTCAAGGCCACATTTGAAGGAGTTTTTGAAATGGGACAGCCTTCTAAGTGCCACTGCGACGAATTCTGCCTTGAAATGCAGACTTTGATTTGGGATATTTGTGTATTTAGTCTTAAATACAAGAAAGTAAGTTGTCTGTCCTTTCTTGCAGGTCTCCTTCAACATAACTGTAGACGCTCGAGGATGTCCTCCGAAAGGCACCAGGAAGAGTTTCACCATCAGGCCTGTTGGTTTTAAAGACCGTCTGGAGGTCTCTGTGGACTACCGCTGTGATTGCAGCTGCTCATATTACACCAAGACCAACAGCAGCCGCTGCAACTCTGCCGGCACCTACAGCTGTGGGATGTGCCGCTGTGAGCCCGGCTACCTGGGGGCCCGCTGCGAGTGCGAGGAGGGTGAGGTCGACCACCAGCAGCTCAGTGCCTGCCGTGAGGCCGAGGGCAAGCAGGTGTGCAGCGGCCGTGGAGAATGCAGCTGTAACCAGTGTTTGTGTTACGAGTCAGAGTTCGGCAAAATCTACGGCACCTTCTGCGAGTGTGACGACTTCTCCTGTGCCCGACATAAGGGTATACTGTGCTCAGGTAAGGTGAAAGGATTTATGTGCTTACAATGCACAGTGCATTTCAGTTCCACAATGCGTTTTTACCTGTGTGAATTCAGTCGTTTTGTACAAAATGTGGAAGTTTATGGGCCATGTCCTAGCTTTTCAGCATTGTCTCAAACCATTCGGCTTATTTGGCTTGCCATGGGCCTCTTTAGGATGATACGTTTGTGCCCGATGCATTTGATCAGTTCTTGCCAAAGAGCAGTTGGCTGGCACCCCATCTCTCCCTCTCCACATAGGACGCATCTGTGCCATGCCACAGTGAGAGCTTTGTAGAAGGCTGCATTTGTTTATCCATGCACACAATAGCTGGTCTATGAGTAATAAAGGTCTGTTTTTCTTTAGTCAGCAGAAACTGTCAGCCCAGCACAAAATGGACATTTGTTGAGCCTCTGTAGCAATAATGCCATCGGTAGAATCGTGAATATGTCCTGTTCCTGCTATCTCAGCCATGGAAAACGCTTCTCGTCTGCAGTAATGAGTCCTTAATGAATCTGGGTGATTATACTTATTCGCCCTACTTTGCCATGGTGAATTAACTGGGACAATTCTTGTAAACTTGCTAATAATGGCTGTGGGAAAAGGCAAACGTTGATGAGAGAGTTTCGTAGGTTTCGTTCACTTGTTAAATGCCTCATAAACATGCTTTGTGGCATTTTGATTTGGCCATGCTCTGGTGAGAGCAGCTTGTTTAGTAGTTAGTGATTTGCAAGGTGTTTAGGATAGAAGTGCTCATGAAGTCCTATAGATATTGTTTATCAGAAGAGTGCTTAGGTTTCTCAGACTGGCAGGACACTTGAGATGAACCTACTCCAAGGCATGGTTTAATAAATAGGGGGTACATTTGGGAACGGTAGGGGATTTGTGAGTTGGTGAAAAGCTAATAATTAGATCATAACGTAAAACTAACCCTTATGAAAATTAACCATGATTTTATTATAGTAAGTGTAGTAACCATGGTTTTTTTGGTTTATTGATTACCTTTTGTATAACCACCGTTTTACTACAAATTCTGTGGTTAAACTGTGGTTAGTGTAGCAAAACCATGGTTAATTTGTGGTTACCATGGTTTAACTAGTAACAATGTTTGTTTGGTTTATTTGTAGTAAAACCAGGGTTAATTTTCATAAAAGAATCTGCCAAAGAGCAAAAAGAAACTCAATTCTTGACATTTGTTTGCTGTGTATTCAAATAAAAGAATTACATGCCGAGATATTCGCAACCTTCTTTATTCTTATAAAGTGCTCAGTGCATATCAAAATCAACAGACATTTCAGTCATGCAGGACCTTCCTCATTGTTCACATACTTGGTGGATTCTTTTATTGACTTGAAATCGTGTTAAATGTGAATGGAACCAAGCGCAAGATCCTCCTTTTTTCATAATTTTCATTAAAAAAAATAGGACTGCACAATTTATTCAAATAAAATTTTAATAGTTGCAATTTATTCTGAAAGGCTGCAGTTTAGTCTTATCTGCGGCACTATATTTTTAACATTCAAGAAGAATAATCAATGTTTAGGGTCTCTGCATGTCTTGCATTTTATTTACTTTCATCTTAATCTTAATCTTAACATGAGTGTTGGAACCTTTCTGTGTTTGTGGAGAAATAGTCTTGTTTGCTGTGCAGCGTTGATAGTTGTGATAAAGGAAGGTGAATAAACATGACCCAGTTGAAGGGTCAGGAGGAAGCTGTGCTGAATAAGTTAAACGGCCCCGTGGGGGCGGAGCGTCCTCCTCTGCCACTTTATTACTGGGTCACTGGGCTTGGTGAGCTTGTCATGACTCTTGAAGGCTGACTGGCTGATGGCTTCTCAGTACTATACAATAGGGCAAAAATAAGCAGTTTGAAGATGGTGTTGCATAACTCTTTGTAGCCACATTTCATATATCACAGGAGCACTATATTTTTTTAACATTCAAGAAGAATAATCAATGTTTAGGGTCTCTGCATGTCTTGCATTTTATTTACTTTCATCTTAATCTTAATCTTAACATGAGTGTTGGAACCTTTCTGTGTTTGTGGAGAAATAGTCTTGTTTGCTGTGCAGCGTTGATAGTTGTGATAAAGGAAGGTGAATAAACATGACCCAGTTGAAGGGTCAGGAGGAAGCTGTGCTGAATAAGTTAAACGGCCCCGTGGGGGCGGAGCGTCCTCCTCTGCCACTTTATTACTGGGTCACTGGGCTTGGTGAGCTTGTCATGACTCTTGAAGGCTGACTGGCTGATGGCTTCTCAGTACTATACAATAGGGCAAAAATAAGCAGTTTGAAGATGGTGTTGCATAACTCTTTGTAGCCACATTTCATATATCACAGGTATATATTAGTGGTTATTTTTCAAGGTGACTTTAGAGAAGCATGACTTTAAAATGACCATAAACACTCTTATTATTGTTCTTTTAAGCTAAAACAAAGCTTTGTTTTTCTTGAAACTCTCTGTTTAATGGAAGTGCCATTGAAATGGTTTTCTCAGCTGTACCCTTATTTCTGTATCACACTCCACACCCTGCTATTACTTAAAACAGCATTTTCAATAACAGTAGCAAAATAAAACCAGAATAAGATTCAGAGGTCACCCTGGACCATTGGATCAAAGTGTCTTGAATAGGATCAAAGTCCTATTCTGGAATGTAGTTGCAACTTTCTGTATATATAGAGACATTTAAAGGATCATGTAGAGCCGGTGATCAGCTTGCTACAGCTTCTTCTGGTCAGTTTTACAGTTTCACAGTCATCAGACTAAAATATTTGACAGCAGAATGGTGTGATCGACCAATCAGAATTAAGTTGTCCAGAAAGCTGTGCATGAAATTTTTATTAGAAATTGTATAACCGTTTTTAGTTTTACATAAGTTATATGTGCTTCTCTCTAAATCTGTCATTTAAGTGTTTGTATTTTGTGGGTTGGATGTGATCAGTGTGGCCTTGTCGTGCTGATAGCAGTCTGAAGGGCTCCTACAGAAGGGCCACACTGCACAGATAAGACTTCTGTGTGTCCTTTATTGTGTTTGAGCAGAAGTCTGCGCTCAGCTATCATAATGTGTCATAAATATGATTGAAAGTGCACAATGGGTTTTATTTTGTACTTTTATTTTTGTACTTTTAATTTTACATGCCTCTTCAGTCAAAGGTTTACCTCATTACTGCTCAGGGTGATCAGCTTGCTACAGCTTCTTCTGGTCAGTTTTACAGTTTCACAGTCATCAGACTAAAATATTTGACAGCAGAATGGTGTGATCGACCAATCAGAATTAAGTTGTCCAGAAAGCTGTGCATTAAATTTTTATTAGAAATTGTATAACCGTTTTTAGTTTTACATAAGTTATATGTGCTTCTCTCTAAATCTGTCATTTAAGTGTTTGTATTTTGTGGGTTGGATGTGATCAGTGTGGCCTTGTCGTGCTGATAGCAGTCTGAAGGGCTCCTACAGAAGGGCCACACTGCACAGATAAGACTTCTGTGTGTCCTTTATTGTGTTTGAGCAGAAGTCTGCGCTCAGCTATCATAATGTGTCATAAATATGATTGAAAGTGCACAATGGGTTTTATTTTGTACTTTTATTTTTGTACTTTTAATTTTACATGCCTCTTCAGTCAAAGGTTTACCTCATTAAAACTTATTAATGGACATATGTTTCGAATCTCTGCACAATAGCTTTCTGAGTCTTTAGAAGTGTGAGAAGTGACAGTATGTTAAAGCTATTGAGATGTTTTTGATGGAGCCCCTAGTAAATCTCAGCTTTGTAGTGTTGTATGCATCTGCTGTTGATTTAAATTGCTTAATAACACAGAGAGTCAGAAATAGTGACTAAATGCCCCAGACTTATAAATGTCCTCTTTTTTTGTTGTTTAAATCTTCAAGCTTGTTGCTGAGGTTTGTGTAGACCTAGTCAATTAAACATGTTTGTATTTGTTGTAAAGCTTTGTGGCTCTAGAAAATTGCAAGTAATGGGAATGGAGTGTGGAACCAAATTTTTTAAATCTGGGTCATGATTTCACATGATTTATCCAACTGATTGTAGTGGTAACACAATTATAGTCTGACCATTTTTACACTACCATTTCAAAAGTTACCAAATTTTGTAAATTATTTTTTGTTAATATATTTTTTTCAGTAATGATGCATTCATTGAATTGGTCAAAAGTGGCAGCAAAGACAAAATATTTACATTTCAAATAAATGCTTTTTTATGAACATTATTTTCTTTAAAGAACCCTGAAAAAGTATTATTTCCACAAAAATGTATCTTGAACGGCAAATCAGCATATTACAATGGCTTCTGAAGGATCATGTGACACTGGAGTAATGTCTGGTGAGATTCAGCTTTGCCATCACAGAAATCAATTTCAATTTTAAATTGTAAAATTTCATAAAATTTCACAAGATTAGTGTTTGACTGTATTTTTGATCAAATAAATGCAACTTTGGTGAGCATAAGACACTTTTTAAAAAATCTTACTGACCCCAAACCTTTGAACGGTAGTGTGTATAAACAAACAAAAAAAATCAAATGTTGTGCACTTGACCCCGTGCAGTATACAATCATACAAGGGTTTTTAAACTGCTGTCACCAACTTGTAAAACATGTCAGGAGTGATGTTTGTTGTTGTGGGCATATATGTTGTTTTTTCTCAAAAACATTTGCAGTCTATCCAAGAAATATGTTAGACACATGGTTGTTTTTGGAGCTGTTTTTCAGATACTTTCAGATGTTAGCATTACGCACATGGAGCAGATGAGATGTTGTATGTTGAATACCAAACATATGCTGTAATTGGGATGTAATGTGGTTCCATTTAACGTTTGGCGAACATTCCACCAACTCATCTCCGTAACTGTACACAGACCATTGACATATTTTTTTCCACACCCCTGCATCCTCTTTACCACAGTAAATGACATCAGCACCTGGCAACACAATGACCTCAGAAGCAAACAAACAAACAGACAAGGCCTTCACCGCTTCACCATCATC